TCTTTTCCTTATTTATCTACATTATTGAAAGTGATGATTAGTGATGCCGATTCATGTGAATTCTAGAGGCCTCGGGAACGGGGTCTAAAGGAAGTGCAATAAGCGTGAATGTTTACTACGTCATTCACAGTGTGGTTTTTGTCAACACGGGAAGCGTAATGTCTCACTTTTTTATTTTCGTGTTAGACGATTTACCGTTGGTGTCCGCATGGTATATCGTTGGAAAAAAATTGTTGGCGGAGTTCTTATAATGCTTGTAGAAGGTTAAAACTCGACGGGACATTAAAGTGATGTATATTGCATGCATGTGTCTGTTTATCTGTACATCTCGTGTCAGTTTGTCAGTACATTTACATATGTAACGCTCTGCGACTAGCCAAGGACTCGAATCCATGTTGTTTTGGCCCGCCTCATGGTAAGCGAAAGCATATGACGCTTTACCCCCACAGGACCACGCAATCCTACAAGAACCAAGCACTCAGCCAAGCTAGGTGTGTTACCTTGGTCTGAGGACATACGGTGGTGTGAGTGCCTCTGAGCTAATTTCTTTCTACTCCCCGTTTGGTGTAGAAATAAAATACTGCTTTTTGAGGCTAATACACCAAACGGGGAGTAGAATGAAATTTAGCTCAGAGGCACCCACACCACCGTATGTCCTCGACCAAGGTAACACACCTAGCTTGGCTGGGTGCTTGGTTCTTGTAGGATTGCGTGGTCCTAGGGTTACAGCGTCATATGTTTTCGCTCACCATGAGGCGGGCCAAAACAACATGGGTTCGAATCCTTGGCTAGTCGCAGTGTTATTGATCATACCACTCATTCGTAGTTACAAATATTATATACGTAAATATGTGTCTTAAACATTTTTCGTTTTATCCTCTCTTGAGAATAGAACTACTTGCTCAACCTCCTGACTCCGTTATATGAGTCTGTCGGCTTCCAAGACAACATAAATGATCCTCATCTGGAGCAGTTAAAGCGGGTCAAGGCACTGACGTGGGCCTGCAACCTAGAGTACCAGGACTGTGTCAACAACTCAGTTTCACTTTATCAAAAGTGGATGGAGAACCCATCTAACCGCAGGTAACTTTTGTAAACAATGCTTCATGTAGTCAAGGAATTTCGCATTTGTGCTGTTTTAGAAGGAAAAAGTGTTCGGATTATCACTGAAAGCTTAAACACATTTTGTATGAATATTAATTCATAGCTCCAAATCGCTTCTACAGCATTGTGTCCCCTAACTTGAAGAGCATAGTGTACTGCACCGCTATTGCTGCTGGTGATGAGGAGGAGTGGAACTTTGGCTGGAACAGTACCTCAACTCCAACGTTGGCTCTGACAAAGAAGTAATACTTAGTTCACTAGTTGCTCTAAGAAGATCTGGATATTGTCTCGGTTAGTTCAACTCGTTATTTGCTTCTTTGTTGTATGACGTTCCCACATGATATTTTTCGATACGTATTATATAGCTGTTGTTTTTCAAATTAAAATGCAAAGATTGACATATGGACAATATACTTGCGATTTTAACGTTTTCCTCCTTTCAGTAATATATTAAAAGAAATTTTATTATTCTAACAGACTAGTCATTAATTGTTAATATGACATGTGGTCCAGATGCAAAACTTTAGCTACCCCACAGGTACCTTGATATGGCTTTCTCAAATAATAGCGGTATGAGGAACAGGATGCACCTATAGCCTTCGTCGCTGTGGCCAGAAACAGTGTAGGCCACTACCTAACCTGGAACTATGTTAGGGATAACTGGCAGAAAATTACGGACTTGTGAGTAGGACAAACTAATGTTGTCATTTTCTGTTCAACAAACTCGAAACACATCTTTCATTTTTATAATGCAAAAAAAAAAAAAAAATGACATGAAATTCACTTTGAGATTACAAAGATACATTATTTCAGTTTTGGGTCTGGTATATTCGTCCTCTCCAACATCATTGAGAAAGCTACTGAGACCTTAAACACACACCTGGAAATGAAGGAGGTACGTCGACATGAAAATATATTTGGGTTGGGAAATAAAAAAGTGAGAGGATAAAAATTATAGCAGTGTTTTAGAGAGACGTTAGAGGATTTAGGGAGCATGTAAAGTTAAGAGGAGTGTAGTACACGAGTAAAAATATGAAAGACGAGAGAATGTTATTTGGAATGTGACGAAGGAAGAGGTGAGGCGAGTGTGAGAGCAGTCTGGAAAAGTGCATCATTGTTTACTTTGACGAGTGGTAGTAAAATGTTAGCTATATTAAATAAATCAAGATTATGCAGAGAGGAGAGCACGTAGTATAAAAAAATGAAAATATGGAAGAATGAATGCTAAATGGCATAATCAGAGGGGAACGGAGATCGAAAAAAGGGATTCGTGATGAAGGGAACTGCACACTAGCTGAGGGAAAGAATAGAATGAAGCAGAGGGCTGAAAGGTAGTAAGAGTCTCAAGTTGCCGGGAGAGTAAGGTTAGGTAAGGTTTGTCGGGAAAGAGGACGCAGGTCCTGACACAGGTCTTAGTCATATGATAACCCGCCAGAGGAGCTTTTGGTCATCTGACCGAGGCCTTCCGCTGGCTTACCGGTCCAACCCTTTAAAAATTATGGTTATTGGAGAGTAACAGAACTACTGGAGAGTGGGGGAACTGTGTTCCTTATCCACAAATACGTGATACACACGTTACGTATATGATGTGTATGTGTATTAATTTTTTTTTCTAGTTGAAGCTGTTCAAGGAAAGGCACGCGGGCGAATTCGGACCAGCAAAACGGACAGTTGATCAGTCTATTGAAGGAACTACTATTAACATTGCCTGGATGACCAACAACTCCAAGATTATTGTTCAGTGGCTCAGTGACCATGGTTATTCCACCCAGCTCAATAATCAGTCAACTCTGCTGCCTGGCTCCATTTAGCAACATCCCTAAAAGAAGAAAAGTGGTTGCTTCAGTTCGGTAATCATGAACTGATATTACATATATATCACTTAGTTTTTAGAAGATATAGAAAATATTCAGGTATATATATATAATATATATATATATATTAATATATATATATAATATAATATATATATATTATATATATATATATATATATATATATTATATATATATATACATGGGAAGTACAATGCCTGCACTTTAAAGGAGGGGTTTTGGATATTGGCAGTTTGGAGGGATATGTTATGTATCTTTATACATATATGCTTCTAAACTGTTGTATTCTGAGCACCTCTGCAAAAGCAGTGATAATGTGCGAGTGTGGTGAAAGTGTTGAATGATGATGAAAGTATTTTCTTTTTGGGTATTTTCTTTCTTTTTTGGGTCACCCTGCCTCGGTGGGAGACGGCCGACTTGTTAAAAAATATATATATATATATATATGCATGTGGGTGTACATTATATGTAAACAAATAAAAGGTAATTTTAGGAAAACATTGTAGGTAAACATTCTGTATATTTAAATGCAAATTAATCAAAATCTAAGATGTCGTAATCCTGTCAGAGTTGCATTTAACGTCTGTGTATCTTTCAAGAATCTACATGTATTTCTAAATAAAAAACTTTCCTTCATTCCTTGTAATGAATATTTATCAAGTATGAAAACTTTTAATGCAGTTATACCACGTTATTGATCATTTGGTACTTTACATAACTGGTTAAACCTCATTCGTAAAGTAATTTATAAAACTGTGTGGGTATACTCACCTATATGTGGCTGCAGGGGTCGATTCACAGCTCCTGGCCCTGTATGTGTGTGCGCGCACCTAATTCATGCAGAGGCCTATGATATCCCTCTAATAAAATTTTGAATGGACAACCCACATGATAGAATAATCTGGGTTATGCTGGACTGATTCTTCCCCCATCTTCCCTCCAATAGAAAGTTGTGTCGGTGCTTCCAAGAAAATTTGCAACCTAACTAATTTTGTCCACCGTATGTGGTGTCTGAATACTAATAATTTTTGTTTTGAATATTTACTCTGGTAACACCTGATCGTTTAGGATTAATGAAAATGAATGATGTACAGGGATGAATAGCGAAGATGTGTGATGCTATGAAGTTATATGAAGATGAAGAATGTTATGAAGTAACGTGAACATGTACCAGGAGGAGCAGCGGAGATGAATTGCGATAAATTAAGATGCACTAGGTTGGGTAGTGAACATGAATGATGCTTTTAAGTGATGGTTGTGACCGATGCTTGAAGGACATTTAACTCTGTAGTGAAAATAATATCTGACTGCGTGTAGCAGTCAGCCATTATTTACGTCTCTTACTTCCGTCATATTGCTTTCATCTCTGCATTTTCTTATGCTTAAGTTTTAAACTCTTAGTTTTCTATGAAACTCTGGCTGTCTAGACTTTCTCTTCTCACCTTCCTTCTTTTCTGTTTATTCATTGTTTGGCTTTGTCGTATCTAGAGTAAAACCAGAAGTGATATACTGCTGCCTGTGTGTCAAAGCATTTGCACGTTCAGGAGTGACTAAACAATTCTCCGTTCCAGAACCACAATGAAGAAGTTAGTGGTCTATGTTAGTGACAGGTGAGCAGTTTTAAATTATGACACCTGGGCTTGTGGTTGTCCTCGCTTTACCATTGTCGAGTGTTCTCCCTCACCTGTGATTTGGTCACACCAGACTAACCTATAGTCATCACATGGAAGATTGCCCTGTTCCACTCTGCAGATATTGTAAGGTCACACTTAAATATTTTGAAATTTCTCTTTTTTTTTTCCGAACTTTATTTTCAGCTTTTCTTTGATAAATGATAAACTTCATTTTTGTTAAGAATACTTTACAGTTGGTACAGGAAAGGTGATATTACTGACATACTTTATTGAAAGCCCCTGGTTATGCAGAACTTTTCGGGCAGCTTTAAAATAACTTATAACTACTAGTGGAGGTTTTACAACAACATTTTGTTGGGAGGTTCAGTAAGATAATTCGCTATAACATTTATATTAGTTATTAATGTTGGTCAGATACAAATGCAGATACTACTCTAGATTTCAGTATTACTGTACAGAACATACAATAAAATAATGATCCAAAGAATGCATAAGTATCTCAGCTTTTACTATACTAAAAATTTGCTTAGTTAATTCATAATAAAAATCACAATAAGAAGATATAATTGTCAAATTTAGCAGCGAGTAGTACTAGTTACTTAAATTACAATACAAATATAACGAGATAGTAAATGCTTCTAATAATATCTGGGGAGCTGATGGAAAGCTGGAAGAACAGGGACACAACTGGTTGAAAACAGCAAGGTTCAGGTTGTCTTTGACTTAGTGTATTGCTGTCGTGATTACAATTCAGTGCTTTGTCATTCTCATACTTTCTGTTCTCTCCTCTCGCAGCGCTGTATGGCCCTTGTGGTTTAGCGCTACTTTTTTATTATAATAATACTGTTCACTCCTCTCAAAAAGCATCATCTTTAATATAGACAGATACCTCACATAGCTTTTTGTCAGCGGTTGTCATGTTGAATTAAATTTTTAGTATGCTATGTGTTGTGTGTAGTGTTGTTTCGCCTTGCATTCTAATTACCTCTGTGCGTCACTTGTTTTTATTCTCATGGTGTCCGCCTCTCTCTCCTGTGCAGCACCGAATAACCTTTACAGGTTTAAATATTATTTGGCCTAATAATTTAAAGGATCGGCATCTGGGTTATATTTTCATTTTAATACATCCAAAACTGTGTTGGATGAGGCAGATGGTTTATTGTTTATGTTTATCAAGAAGAAACGAACTGCAATTAAAATTGTTATACAAGTGCATTATGTATGTGGTTGTGTTTAGGATCGTTGCTTTTATTGTTTGTTAATTTTATCCTTGTTTTTGTGTGTTGTTTATTTCATTTATAGTTGTGAGCGCTGAGTGACCTGCACAATGTGTTTCGTTACCGCTGTTACTAGTGCTACTGATACTACTGCTATCACTATTACTAGTGCTACTGATACTACTGCTATCACTATTACTAGTGCTACTGATACTACTGCTATCACTATTACTAGTGCTACTGATACTGCTATCACTATTATTACTAGTGCTACTGATACTACTGCTATCACTATTACTAGTGCTACTGATACTGCTATCACTATTATTACTAGTGCTACTGATACTACTGCTATCACTATTACTAGTGCTACTGATACTACTGCTATCACTATTACTAGTGCTACTGATACTGCTATCACTATTACTAGTGCTACTGATACTACTGCTATCACTATTACTAGTGCTACTGATGCTACTGCTACTATTACTAGTCCTACTGATACTACTGCTATCACTATTACTAGTGCTACTGATACTACTGCTATCACTATTACTAGTGCTACTGATACTACTGCTATCACTATTACTAGTGCTACTGATACTGCTACCACTATTACTAGTCCTACGGATACTACTGCTGTCACTATTACTAGTGCTACTGATACTACTGCTATCACTATTACTAGTGCTACTGATACTACTGCTATCACTATTACTAGTGCTACTGATACTGCTATCACTATTACTAGTGCTACTGATACTACTGCTATCACTATTACTAGTGCTACTGCTACCACTACTATTACTAGTCCTACTGATACTACTGCTATCACTATTACTAGTGCTACTGATACTACTGCTATCACTATTACTAGTGCTACTGATACTGCTACCACTATTACTAGTCCTGATACTACTGCTATCACTATTACTAGTGCTACTGATACTACTGCTATCACTATTACTAGTGCTACTGATACTGCTACCACTACTTTTACTAGTCCTACTGATACTACTATCACTATTACTAGTGCTACTGATACTGCTACCACTACTATTACTAGTCCTACTGATACTACTATCACTATTACTAGTGCTACTGATACTGCTACCACTATTACTAGTCCTACTGATACTATCACTATTACTAGTGCTACTGATACTGCTACCACTATTACTAGTCCTACTGATACTACTGCTATCACTATTACTAGTGCTACTGCTACTATTACTAGTCCTACTGATACTACTATCACTATTACTAGTGCTACTGATACTATCACTATTACTAGTGCTACTGATACTGCTACCACTATTACTAGTGCTACTGATACTACTGGTATCACTACTGTTAATAGTGCTACTGATACTGCTACTAATATCGCTACTGCCATCACTACTGTTACTATTACAACTGTACTACTACAGTTATTACTACTACTACTACTACAGCAGTTTGCATATTAATTGGGACACTAATGAAATAAGACATTTATTTGAAAAATACACGGCAATAATATGAAAATAATTGATTTAATAAAGATATACTATTGTTTTTATAAGCATTGTTACTGTATAGCCCTTGTGGCTTAGCGCTTCTTTTTTAGTGTAAATAATATGTTTTTTTTATATTTTATTTAAAACTCAGGTACAAAATATATGGGTACATAATTAATTGTAAAAAAAACAGGCAGTAAAACGATAATCTGCAGTGACACATAAAATACCAAAGAAGCACTAATAATGACTCAGAACTGGCGCTGCACCCAATAAAACCCACTATTTTTAATGTACCGTGCTTCACGTAAAAAGAGGTCTTATAAAAAAAATGAAGTCCAACCAAATGCTTGCATTCCCCCCCCCCCCCTTTAAAAAACCCACTTTACCGAGTATCCCATTGACATCCTTATACATTATTAAGCATTAAAGGGACCATTGACAACAGTATAAACACAATCCAGCCATCTAAAAGGCGACTAAATACAAGGAAATTCTGAACATGAGGGCACACACCCCAAAAGAAACCAACCACACCCAAAAACCCCATATACCCATGAAACAATCAATATCGTGCAGGGTGGTGGGTTTAATACCTACCCCGCCACTCTTCACCCCCCCCCCCCCCCACATGCCTAGTAACTGTGTCGCCGTCCCACCAAACCCTCCACATCATTGAATTTAAAAAAAACTTTAAAATACAATAAAAAAGGTTTTTTTTTTTTTTTTATATTT